CTATCACTCAACAGATTTTAGATTCAAATAAAGCTAAGCAATCAATAATGAAATGAAAATAAAATAACAACTAAAGCAATGATGTCAGGGGCGGATTGTAGGTTCTTAAAATCAATGAAGACAAGACGCTAGGCAATGGAAAATTCGCAGGTTGACATAAATCACAGACTACAAACTGAAAGGAATATTTATTAAAACCGTTCTAGAACTCGAAACACTAGTGTAAAACCAATCGACTTCCGTCGCAGAGATTAACTATGATTAGATTCTAGAATTCCAAATTCCTTTGCAAATTCTAACAACCTAAACATGCATTATAGATCAGATTCGATATGTTCACAAAATCACTAATCCAAATTCCTTTGCAACTAGTTATTTTGCTCATCTAAGATAGTTCTGGTGATTAACAATGTTTCCACATCCATTAAACATCCTAAGATCTGATTTCTAGGTGATCAATCTTAAAACCAGTGTTAAAGCAATCTAGATGAAGAACCAAATGATTTATCCTTCCAGTTTTGTAGTCTTAACAATTCATTATCAACCTTTGAATAACCCAAAACCTAACTAGCAGATTACTCATACATATCAAGTGAAACACAAATCATGACTGAATAAAATTGCATTAAGAAAATAGAATAAAAGATGAAGGGGTTCGAAATTCTTCTCTACAGAGTATGGATTTGTCTCCCCAAAATCTCTCAAACTAATCTCTCTCTTAATCTCAATGATAAACAGAATCCATGCTTAACAATGGCTTAAAAAACCTAAATACAAGTCTAAACACGAACTGTGGCAAAAGTGCAAATAGTGGGAAACTTCTGGGCCAAGTTGCAATTTCTTCCAATGAGTTTTTATGCTTCTTTGTGACCACGACCGGTGTCGATCGACACCAAGTAGTGGGTGTCGATCGACACCCTGCTCTTTATGCCCTCCGACTTGGTCATTTCAGCATCAACTCCAGTATAGATCCAAAAGGTTCCAGAATCCACAATTTTGATCCATTTGTACCTAGACCTGCAAAGACTCTATAGGACTCGAAAAAATACCAAAAAGACTCTATAAACAAGACTTATATCATGGTCAAAAACCAGCAAAAACTATGATATATCAGGGGCTGAGGAGCAAAACGAGCCAGATACGGGAGACCAAGAGGAGGAGCTCCAAGAGTTAGTGACTCTATCCTTACAGTCCATGGTAGGATTGACCACGGTGAATTCAATGAGGATGAAGGGCAAGATTAAAGATCGAGAAGTGATAGTCCTCATAGACTCTGGAGCTACGAGCAACTTTATTTCAGAGAAGCTCGTACAGGAACTAAAGCTGACTCAAACGGACTCAAGGGGGTTTGGAGTTCGAGTGGGAGGAGGTGAGATAATCAATGGCAAGGGTCGATGCTCAGGCCTACTTCTCGATATCCAAGGAGTAGAACTAGTTGAGGAGTTTTTGTGCTTCGACTTGGGAAACACAGATGTGGTGCTGGAGTATACGTGGTTGGCTTCCTTGGAGGGGGGTGGGGGGGGGGGGGGGGGGGGGGGGGGGGGGGGGGGGGGGGGGGGGGTACTCGCATCAACTGGTTGCGCAGCACTTTGAGTTGGAGAATCAGGGGGCTATGGGTTACCATCACGGGGGATCCCAATCTCAGTCGAGAGCAGGTGTCACTAAAATCCATGGAGAAGATCCTCCAACATAATGGTGAAGCGTATTTGCTGGAACTCACCACCTTGTTTGCCAGTGCAAGTCCACCACGGGATCATGAGCATTCTCGGGAGTTACAGGGGATTTTGGAAAAGTACACGAGAGTGTTCAGCATGCCAAACGGGTTGCCTCCGGCACGTAATAGGGAGCACGCAATCACCCTTCAGGAAGGAGTAGGGCCTATCAATATTAGGCCTTACCGTTATTTCTTCATCCAGAAGAATGAGATTGAGAAACTGGTGAAGGAAATGATTGAAGCACGAGTGATACAGCCGAGCATCAGTCCTTATCCCAGCCCGGTCTTGCTAGTTAAGAAGAAGGATGGAGGGTGGCGGTTTTGCGTGGACTACAGAGCCCTCAACAAGGCTACGATTCCAGATAGGTATCCCATTCCAATCATAGAGGAGCTGTTGGATGAACTCTACGGTGCAACTGTCTTCTCGAAGCTGGATCTAAAATCAGGATACCATCAGATTCGTATGAAGTGCAGTGACATTGAGAAGACTGCCTTCAAGACTCACCAAGGGCACTACGAGTTTTTAATTATGCCTTTCGGCCTTACCAACGCTCCGTCAACCTTTTAGAGTGTTATGAATGACCTATTCAGGCCATACCTCAGAAGGTTTGTATTAGTGTTCTTCGATGACATTCTGGTGTATAGTGTAGACCTCACTGCACACTTGAAGCATCTGGAAATAGTGTTGGAGCTTATGCAGCAACACAAATTATATGCCAACTCCAAGAAGTGTTCTTTCGGGAACAAGGAAGTGGCTTATCTCGGGCGCCGGATCTCAGGCGAAGGAGTGGCAGCGGATCCAGAGAAAATTGAAGCTATGTTGTCTTGGCCAAAACCAAAGTCAGTGATGGAGTTGCACGGATTCCTAGGACTCACAGGGTACTACCGGAGGTTTGTAAGGGATTATGGCATCATGGCTAGGCCGTTGACAGAGCTTCTCAAGAAAGAAGGGTTTATGTGGTCTCCTGCTGCCGAGGAAGCCTTCAACAAGCTCAAAACCGCGGTGACTTCATTGCCTGTGCTGGTATTACCAGACTTTTCCCAACCTTTTACTATCAAAACTGACGCATCAGGTGCAGGGATAGGAGCTGTGCTCTCGTAAGGGAGGAGGCCCATTGCTTTCCTCAGCCAAGCCTCCTCGGCTCAAAAGGAAGAGTTAAGTCTGTTTATGAGAGGGAATTACTTGCGATTGTGAAGGCAGTGTCCAAGTGGAAACACTATCTTACGGGGAAAGAGTTCATCATCAAGACGGATCAGCGAAGCTTGAAGCACTTGCTGGATCAGAAGGCAATGTCATCAGTTCAGCAGCGTTGGGACGCCAAGTTGATTGGATTAAACTACAAAATAGAGTACAAACCAGGAGTTGAGAATAGGGTGGCGGATGCTTTGTCAAGGAGACCTCACATAGAGGAGCTCAAACACATCACCTTGACCGCTCCTCTAAACTTAGACAAGAAGGTTTGGGCAGAGCAAGTGAAGGCGGATCCTGAATTGGGAGAGTTGTTGAGAAGAGTGGAAATATGGGAGAAGGACCTCTCGGAGTTCAGTATTCACGAAGGACTCCTGTACAAGCAAGGATGATTACTGTTGCCAGCAGGATCATCACTCATTCCGCAGCTGCTGCAGCAGTTTCATTCGAGCGAAACAGGGGGTCATGAAGGCGCGTTGAAAACTAACAAGAGGTTGATACAAGAAGTCTCCTGGAGAGGGATGCGAAAGGATGTGGTGGAGTACATCCGTCGTTGCCAAACCTGTCAGGAAAATAAGTACTCCACGCTCTCCCATGCAGGTTTACTAGCTCCTGTGCCCATTCCGAAGCAGATTTGGTCTGACATCAGTCTCGATTTTGTGGAAGGGTTGCCTCTGTCTAAGGGATTCAGCGTCATACTAGTTGTGGTGGATCGGTTGAGCAAGTATGGTCATCTTATTGCCCTCAAGCACCCCTTCACGGTGAAAGTGGTAGCAGAAGCCTTTGTGCCTGAGGTGGTAAAGCTTCATGGCTTTCCAAAGACTCTAGTTTCTGATCGTGACAAGGTTTTCTTGAGCAGTTTCTGGTCAGAATTGTTCAAGCTCCAAGGTTCCACATTGCATAAGAGCACCGCGTACCACCCCCAAACGGACGGTCAAACTGAAGTGGTGAACCGATGTCTTGAGACCTACCTGAGATGCTTCGCAGGAAGGAAACCCACGGCATGGCTACAATGGCTTCCGTGGGTGGAGTATTGGTATAACACGTCCTACCACTCTGCAAGTAAGTGTACTCCTTTCTCCATTATTTACGGAAGAGAACCCCCTCGTCTCCTTCGTTACGGGGATACACCTACGGCTAATGCTCAGGTAGAGGAATTGTTGAAGGATAGAGACAGCTTGCTAGTGGAATTGAGGGAAAACCTCGAATTGGCGCAGTTGAGGATGATTAAAGGGCAAACAAACATCGCAGAGATGTTAAATTCGCGGTGGGAGAGCTGGTATACATGAAGCTCAGGCCTTATAGACAACACATTGTGGCTAAGCGAAGAAACGAGAAGCTGGCTCCAAGGTTTTTTGGTCCATATAAGGTGACAAACTGGAACTGCCATCACATAGTGCCATACATCCGGTGTTCCATGTTTCACAGCTGAAAAGGGCCATTGCAGCATCTCAACACTCGCAGGACATCCCGGCATTCCTGAGTCCATCACTGGAGTGGAACACAGAACCAGAAGAGTTGTTTGATGCTCGCCGCTCCCCTTCAAGCAATGAAACAGAGGTACTGGTTAAATGACGGGGATTGCCAGATTTTGAATGCACTTGGGAGTCTCTTTCTGATTTGGCAGGACAGTTTTCGCTAATAAACCTTGAAGACAAGATTGCTTCTCTTGGAAAAAGTATTGATAGGTTAAGGGTGCCGTTGGTGTTTATGAGGAAAAAGCCACGTTCACAGAAAAGGAAAGCTTGAGTTGTGGAGAAGAAGCAGTTCGTTGAAAGTGATTAAAAGAAAGAAGAAGTGAAGTAAAGACTCTCATTCTGTGAGAAAATTTTATTATTGTAATGCTCTGTCATTTTACTGTTACTGCGAATGTTATTTAAACAATATTCCCCATTAAAGTTAATTTATCTTAAAAGATTAAACATTAAATCTTCTCTTTTCTATTCTTTCTCCCCTTATTTTGCTTCTCTCGAGGGAGTATTAAACAGATAAAAACTAAAAAATACCTTTTAAATTAAAAAAAAATCGATAGCAAATTAAAAAACCAAAAATTCAAAAACCAAAATCCAAGACTACTCATATATTCATGGCCCGAAATGGCTAAATATTGGGATCCGGTTCGATTTACGTTCGGTTTAGAAGGATTTATTTTTATTTTGTTTTAGTCAACTCCGGTTTAGATTGAGTTCCGTTAAAACAAACGTAAACCTCCTGCAAATCTTCAACCTCGAAAATTTTCTCGGGAAAAAGGTAGAAAGTTAGAAACCGATTCCACTGAAGCTGCAACAATGGCGGAATCTTCAAATCTCTGGTTGAAAGCCAGGGATATTCTCGCGACTCCACGCCACGAAAGATTAACGATCATCGTCGATCAACTCTATACGCCTAAAGAATCCGTCGAATACAAATCAGCGCTTGCTCTGTGCGATTTCTGCGTCGCTAATTTTCCGAATTGCTTAACTCAAATGCTTCTCAAAGCGTATCGATACTCTTCCGATGAAGTCACCAGTTTCCGATCGCTCCTCCTCCTTTCCGAAACTCTCACCGAAATAAGAAGTACTCGAGGCTTCGTACTCTCTATCGTCGCTCTAAATGACATCAAGCAGCTTCTGATTTCTTGCCTGACGATTCGAGAAGCCAATAAATTTGTGACGAGGACCCTGAGAATCATCGTTTCTTATGTAGCTTTCAATGTTGTGATGCTTGATAGTGACGGATGGGACGAGCTCGGCGATTGTATGTTCACGCTCGCCAACACCGATCCATTTAGGGCTTTCAGCGTCTTCATCGATCTGCCTCCACTCTACGGAGGATTCACCAACAGGTTTCTTCACAAACTCCGAGAGGAAGTCTACAAAGTGTTGCTTCATCCTCAGCGAAATCAAAGCGAAGAGTGGACTTTTGCTTTAGAAACTGCTATCAAATTAGCGTTTCAGCTTTTGGATTCGGGATTGAGAATCGACTTGACGAGGGAGATTCTTGACACCGTTCTGAATTCAGCTCGTGTGCTTGTGGGTATGGGAATGGAGGAGTTTCTTCAAAACGCGCTTGAAAGTCTCGTCAAGTTCTTGGAGAGAGACGCGAAGTCGTGTAAATGGAGCACAAAACAATGTGGCTTTGTTGCAGAGTTTGCGTTCAAGATCGCTAGAATCGGAACAAAGACGAAAGAAACCGCGAAGAAGATCTATCAAATGGTCACAATACAAGACAAGTACGTCGAGAATACATCTTTCAAACTCAGACTATCTCGCTTTGAGAAGAATCAAGATCGTGATCTAGGAGATGACCGTGACTTGTACCACAGCTTCACGAAGTTATCTCCGTTTGATATCTTGGCTGCGTTTGCAGTGGCTGAATACGATGATAGCACCAGAGAGGTTGCAATCAGAAGACTCCATGATGTGCTTTGTGACCACACTTCAGGCAAGTGGTACTTAGACATTTCAGAGATCGAAAAGCTTAATCCTTTGCTTGTACGTTGCCTTAGGGGAAAAAGAATTCCTGAGAAGACGTTCATGGTTCTTGGTCAAGTTGTGTTCCACGTTGCGTTGGAGACATTCAGCTACACAGACGACCCGTGGTTCGATCTTTGGGACTACATTGCATCACAAAGCAAAGCAGAGTTCAGCAAAGCGGTTTACATCTTCCAGTGCTTAACAATGCGGTTCGATGATAAAGAAGACGTTGTGATCCATGCTATGAATAGTCTCCTCCCAGAGATTTACAAAAGGCTAAACCCACCAAGAGAGCTTTTGGTAGACAACAGTATCTGGGTCTTGGCGTTTACAGGTGCGTTCTGTGCAGCGATTCGATTGATAAACATCGCGAGTCACGCAGGGTTTGTTAGGGAGATTGCGGAAAAGATGGTGGATTCGGTGAGAGAGCTTGTGGAGAGAGGTATGGAGGTTGGGCTTGTGATGAGAGCTTTCAGAGATGTTGAAGGCACTGTGGAGAAACAATGGGACTGGTACAAGACTTGTGAGTACAGATTCGTCAAGGGCTTGTTATGGAAGCTCTATGGGATCAATGGCATGAAGATGGAGAGTAAGATGGTGTTGTGGAGGATCAATGGGAATCTCGACAGGAGTGTTAAGGAAGTTTTCAAAAGGCTCTCTGAGACTGAGCTTGATTGGCTGAACCAACCTTAGACTTTTGGCAAAATGATTTTCTGCAGTTTAGTTTGTTTTGGACAAGAAAATAATGTAGGTCTTATAAGTTTTGAGTTTTTGTACCAAATAAACTTTGATAACAAGCAACGAATTGGTCACACGCAACTAAGACATGACATAGTTAAATAAACCAAATATGTTTTGGTAAAGAAAACGTGCAAACAACAGGACCAATTCCTAACTCAGTTGTCTATATTGATTCATTCAGCAGATTCATCTGAATCATCTGCTGTAACATCAGATGAACCTTCTTCGTCTTCTTCCTCAATATCCTCATCTGCTTCGCGTATTTTCACTTTGCTTGCCATTATTTTGGCTAAAGCAGCAGCTTTACTTGCTCGGTGTGATCGAGTCATCAAAGTATTAGGAGCAGAAGGTGGAGGAGGAGATGCTACTTCTTCATCTTCATCAGAGGATGATTCTTGGATCCTTGCTCGTCTTCTTGAAGGAGCTGGTCTTTTTGAGCAAGGAGCAGGTGTCTGTTGCACTGTTGCAGGTGCAGTGATGTCCAGGTCATATTTTACTCCTAGCGTTTCTGTAAATAGCCAATAAGAAAGAAACAAAACAATCAAAGAGAGACTCTACATAACTTTTAACTATACTGTATAATGTAGAGAGTCAAAAAGATCAAAGTACCAAAGATTGAATTTGCTTCATCTTGTGATATCTCCTCGCTTGGAGAAGCATCCAAAGATTTTAGATGTTCAAGCACCAGTTTCACTTCCTTAAGAAGCTCCTTCTCTGAGCATACAGAATCAGCGACTCGGCTTAAAAGCTTTTTCATCAGCTTCACCACGTTTTGTTCTGATGGTTTCAGATGGAGTAACACAAGTGTTTTGCATAGTGCTGCAACGTATGCCTTCTCAGCAGCAGTCTTATTTCCCTTGAAGCTTACCATCTAATAGGAAACAATCTTAGCATCAATAGACAAGAGAATCTTCGCTCCCTATTATACTTTTTCTTCATCTTGGGGACAATAATGATATGAATGCAACTAACCTCGATGGCTATGCGTATGGCTAACCCTTCTTCTGTACGGTCTAGTGGAGTTTGAATAGAATCCTCTGGTGGTTTGTAAAGCGGGGTTTGCATCATCTGCAGTAAGAATCTGGATGCTTGGACAGCACGCTTGCGTTGAGTCGATACAACATATGAAGAGCTTTTAGAGTTATCATCAATCCCAGGCCACATAGAGCGCATGAGAGGAACAAAAGCCTTTGACACGTATCCCTACATCACATGAAAAATCATTCAGCTGAAAAAATGATTGCTACGAATCCTCTTGATCTTAAAGGGAGATCATGGTTTTAGTTACCTTATGCTTTTCCGAGAGGGAAGCATAGTGCTCAAAGAAGACAGACAAACACTGTTTGAACCTGGATAATAATTAAGCAGAGAGAAAATCATTAGTGGATATTCTGATGACAAAAGTTACCAATCGAAAAGAAACAAAATCTCTGTACCTCAGTTGTTCTTTTGACTCCTCACTGAAGTATAATGCAATCAGCTTGCCCAAAACAAAAGGATAAAACGATGCAGGCAAGTTTGGGTACTTCTCTCCTAGAAGAAGAAGTTTCGCAAACCCCTCCCCGACAGTTGCTTTAACCGACTCATCGTCACTGCTCTCTGTGTATTCTCTCCAGTCATCACTTTCAAGTCCAGCATACAAGAGATCGAGCGTTTTTAAATTCAAATCTTCTTCGGCATTTGACAAGTCGATGGGTACATAATCAATGCTCTCATCCTCAAATTGTGACAAGAGATCTTGTCCCAATGCCTTGTCAACTTCTGTTGGGCTATGCCACATCCCAAGATCCACTAGCGCCTTAGAAGCCATAATACTAATTGCAGGAGGGCTTCTACAAAAAGCTACACGTAGCTGCCTTACTAGCCCTTCGCTAGGCTTCTTCTCTAACAAACCAAAAAGACCAAGGCACTTTACAGCAATCCTCTGCACATCCAAGTGTGTGTGTTTTGCCTGCATTACATGAATCATATAAGAAAGAGTTGTGCAGAATCAAAGGAAGCTGGACAATGAAAAAATTATCGGTTTGTTTATGTAAAATGAACAGAGGAGAGTAGAAAACACACCCCTGGGAGCAACAAAGCATGCAATATCTCTTCTGGTTCAATAGCCTTCCCTTGAAGTGAATGTAAAGATTTTCCATTTTCCAAGAGAAGACTTGTCAGAGAAAGCATGTGCATCCACTGCAGAAAATCCGCAGTCCTTTCCCTACAGGGTCTCGCTAGTTCTTCAACAACAACAAGTATAACTTCTTCATATTCTCCAGGGGCAGCATGGACTTTCTTGGCTAATTTGGAAACTGCATCAGCCCAGTCTTTATCACCACCAAGGTTTATACCGTCTCCAATCACAATACTGTTCCCATCTTCATCTAATTCTTGCTCAAATGGTCTGTGGAGCAGCTCCTGGACAAATGAACTTGCAGTCTTGTGGAGCATGGCATCAGAGAAATCAAGCATTGTGCCCAGCAATAATAGCTGCCTCGAAGCAAAGTGATGATTCGGTCCTGAAAATGATATGTAAGCAGAGGGGATCTCCAAACAAAAACAACTAAGTTGTGGTGTGGTATTGAAAAAATATTTTTGGGCTCACCAGCTTCTATATGAGCTTTAACTAGAGAAACATAATCAGAAACTGTTGCAGGGAGAATTCTTTCCAGAAAATCATTCGCATCTGAAGCTTCAGCGGCATAAACTGCTGCCTCAGCTCCCATCGCAGTAGCAGCATCAGAACCTTTTGCCTGTGTAAGTATCTCATCATTCTTAGCATGTTCCATGTATAAAACCAACACTATCAACATAAAAATCATCAAAAGAACACTATGAACTGTATTCCAAATGGTAGCCTACATAGATAACATATTCTAAGAGGATTTTTAAGTAAATTCAGGCGCAACCTAAGGGACATATCTGCGTTGTCAGACAAAGCTCTATTCAATACAGGAAAAGGTGAAGCAAACTGTCAATACGTGTTTTAATATTTTGATATGCATTGATTTCTGTAAAAAAAAAATTGTTGTGTTTTAATATTTTGATATGCATTTATTTCTGTAAAAAAAATGTTGTGTTAAGATAGGTGTAAATTGAAATTACAGGACATGCTATTTGATAGAAATACTACCTATATGTACCGGTCTTAAGATCTGATGACCAGCCAGGTTTATACTAATCATCACATTATAATTCCAGTACATATCAGCATTATCTGGTTTCTGATTGTAACAGTTATTTAGGGAATTTATCGAGAGCATCTGTAACCCATTTAGCACATTATCATCCAGTTAAGCTAAGTTGATAAATTTTCAGAATTTGGGCTTCACAAAAACCTTGTTTGAAGCATAAAGTACCTAACCTCAGCAATGAAAAGTTGCTCAAGTTTCAAACTTACTTGAGCGCTATTGTGTAACTTCCTGCATATAATCCTCCAGTAAAGAGCGATTTCCGGCTCCATAAGTTGGATGTTGGGTGGAGAACATGCGCTCTCATCTAACACAGGTATTAACAAAACATAAGCAAATGCAGAAACTGCAAATATTATGCATGTATAGTCCAGATTTCAACAGACCTCTTGCTTCACCATCTGCTGACAATATGTACTGCTGGATGCTTTTATCATCGGTAGGCATTATCAATCCTTCACTTAACAGAACCTCCAAAGCCGATTCTGCTACAGATTCATAAGTTTCAACATCGAGGTATTTCAGAAATTCGATAGGATCACCTTGACAATAGTTAGATAGCCATTGATCTTTCATTAGCTTCAAACATTCCTTTGAAACATTTACAGCGCGATCAGCGAGCCCTCTCTGTAGAATTGTGGTCCTAAGCTTGATGCTAAAGCAGGAGAATGAAAGAAAGACCAGTCAGGAGAACGATAAGGACGGTGGGGAAGAGGAAACTCCAACTGTTTTCAATAAGGCTAAGTGTAGAACAGTTGTTACGATAAAACAAAAGCATAAAACTCCTATTCAGAGGTCAACTACAGAATATCATGAAGAGTAAAACAGAGAGACCAAAGCTCTAGGCTGGCTCTGACTATGCAAAATGATGTAGAAAGACAATAAAGAGACAAAGCTCTAAGCCCAAATTCACCTCAGACTCTGAAGAGGAACTTTATTTGCGAGAACAGAGTAAGCTGCTTTGCGTACTGATTCATTAACATCGAGCGTGCAATCGATAATTGCTTGGGTTGTTGCATTTGAAGGAGGCAGAGATAGAACAATTGTTTTGCGTACCTCCTGAAAACATTAAAGCGCTGAGCAATGAGACTTTGACAGGCAAGATTCCTAAAACTAAGAATGTGATTGGGATGTAGTGATGATGTTAGCAAAACAGAAATGGTACAAGACAGACTTTACCGGATTCTGTTCCAGGGGAAGCACCTCAAGGAGCAAATCAAGAATGTCACTATTCTCAGGATCGTTGACAAAGCGTGAAAGAGACCTGACAGCAAACGTACGGATGACAGGAACTTTGTCTCGAACACGCAACATCATACAGTCTATTACATCATCCCACAGTTCATCCGCCACTTCCACATCATCTGGCAGCCTCAATATGATCTGGAAAGAACACAATTTACAGAATAAGTGAAAAGACAAAACAAATAAGGCTTAAGGCCTTCAAAGCATGAAATAAGAATGCAACCACGAGATAAATTCCATAGAAACAAGACGAATGAGACATCCAAAGGTTATCATGACATATTAGCACCCACTTAAGCAATCAAAAGGCCGTAAATTTCTACTCCAATTTCTAACATCTATCAGAAAATGGTTCAAAGCACAAATACTGAAATACATTTCGAATTTCACCTAAAAACATTTACCCAGAAAATTCAAATCTACAATTTCTAGGAGAAAGAACCCTAATCCTCTAATACCTCAGAGATTATCTGGCACGCCCTGAACCTAGCGTTTCTGTTCGCAGCCACAGTACCAGAAATTAAAAACTTCAGAAACTCATCCAGAAACTCTTCGCACTCGGAATCGCCACCGGAATTACTACGCAGACAAGCGAATTCCGCCACGAACCGTACAATACGCTCTGCCGCCGCCGTTCTCCGTTGGGCCGCAATGAAAAGAGGGGTTAGGGTTTTGAAAAACACCGAAGAGAATCGACGGACAGAGGACGACTCATCGGACTCAGGCGAAGATAGTTTCGACCGGACGGTGGCTAGCTCTTTCAGCTTCCGGTTATGAGTAGCGTAGGAAGTGCGAGTCTCGTTCAGGATCTTGGCGATTTTCTGGAGGAGATGACGATCTGCAGAAGCGGAAGCCATTTCTGATTCTTCGCCCATTTTCACAGAGAAAATTCAATTTCTTCTGGAGAGAAACCCAGAAATGTTGATGATTTTTCGAATCCACGCTCTTGTGACTATGGGAGTTCTTTTTGTTTTAAAATTAAAAGTTTTATGAATTTAAGATTTTAGATCTACGTATTTGTTATCACCCGTTCAAAAATTGCTCTGAGCGGGAAAATATCTTGTATTATATTTTTTAGAAAATTAGAGTGAGAGAATTGAATTTTGTTTTTCCTATTAAAATCTTATAATAAATAATGGGTAATTTCCAAATTATGTTTCGTAGTTTTTTTTAGTAAGGTTTTTCAAATACTAGAATTTAACATCGTTTCATATGGTTTAAGAAAGCTTTCCTAATTTTTTTTAAAGTTTCCTAAATTGTGCAAAGGCATCCTGAATTGTGAAATGGTTTCCTGAATTGTGGAAAAGGCTTCTTGAATTTGAGTTGTATAAATTAACAAAAATAATAATTAATTATCCGATTTACAAATGCATTCCTAAATACATGTAATGACTTTTTTAATTTATACATTTCAGGAAAGTCTTCCTAAAACTTTAGAATATCTTCCTAAATTTACGTTCATCTCCTTCCTCACCTCTCCGACATCCAAACTCTAATTTCTGCCAATTTCTTTTTTTCACCGTTGTTGTTTTAGCTCGGTTTTCTTGAGTTTTTCACCCAATAATATCAGATCTATCTATCATTATATGATTTTGAGCTTTAAATCCCGAAATCACTTTCCCATCTAGAAAACTCCAAAAATCTAAGAGATTCACAATCACAATCAAATGAGAAGAGTGATCCTAAACAAAACAAATTATTCGAATTTCAGATCAGTCATGGCCATTGATAAATTTGTTTGTACATTATCTTTCTTCTCTTTTTATTAACTAATGTTTTGTCTAACTAAGATTAATATGGTACAAAATATTATGGAATAATTTTTTTAGAGTGTTAGTGTATATATAGAACAAAAACTTACATTAGGTGCATCTAGGGAAATTCTCATAAATAATAACATTTGTTTATTAATTTTGTAAACCATAAACATTTTTAAAACTTAATAATACACACAAAACCATTAACCTAGTAATGATCAAACTCTTAATGGTGTTTTGTATTTTGATTTTGCATATTCAACTATGGTAATTTGAAAAAAAAAAACTATGGTAATTTGTAAAATGCTGGAATAATTTTTTTTTAACACTATTTGGCAAATATGTTGTCAATCAAATTTTTTTACAAAATGTTAACAAAATGCAAAAAAATAGCTTTAAAATTAGAGATTTATGTTTGGTGTTATTACTTTGATTGGTAAGAGGTATGATTCTGAATTTTAGTTAAACTGTGAAAATTGTTACTTTAAATCAGAGGCTTTAACTTGGCGGATCAGTTGGCACGAAGTGTTCGAAGATGCATTTACCATCTATCTTATGTAAACTCAACTTCACCGACTTGGTTAATTAACTGAGTTGGTTTAGGATTTTGAGGTTGTTGACAAAAAAAAAGGTTTTAGCTTAAAAAAAAGAAGTTAAAGTCATGTTTTTATCCTTTAAAAAAATTCATTAGTTATGAAAGAAAAAAAAATGGATGTAAGAAATTTTAAGACTCTCCGTTTTTATTTAAGTGTCGTTCTACCTGATTGCATTTAGATTAAAATTTTTTATAAAAAACTATTTGATATCAATTACCAATTTTAATCCGGCTGTTTTTTTTTGTTTTAGTAAAACTATAATAAAAGAGGTATCAATTCTACTTTCAATTCATATGCGGTTCAAAGAAAATGGAAAAGAGCAAAAGAAACTATCGTTGGTACATTGGTTGATGTGTCCCAAAGAAGGAAAAAGAAATGGGAGCGCCAGAAAATCCAATCAGCATACAACAGTTTATTGTTATTCGGGAAAACGATCTATTTCCCCCCGAGAAGTATTATATAGCATCAGATGTCCCCCGAACTATGACCACGTTCTAGATATCCCCCCAGAAATACTTAAAGATCTAGATGTCTCCGAATAAATACTTAAAGAGTTAGATCTCCACAAACTTTGATTTGGAAACTTCAGACTCCATAGACATTGGTTTAATATGGTTTAGTGGTTTGAAAAACAAAGATGAACCAATAATAAACCGAATTAAACCTAATTAAACCCAATTACAATCGAATTACAATCGAATTACAGATATCTAAACCAATTAGACCCGATTATGTGATTTAAACCAAATATACCCGTCCCCCCCCCCCCCCTAAATCGTGAAATCCAGAAAATTGTTTATCTCCAATGTCGTTAGTTGGTGGCGATGACATCGGCGAGTTCGACGAAGAAGCAGGTGACCGTGAAGAGGCTGAAATCGAGCAATTACTCCAAGAGTTCGAGGATGAGCAGCCAATCGAACATGATGTGTATCCTGAAACCAAAACTGATAGTGATGAAGGAGAAGACGGAGAAGTTGAAGAAGGTGTTCGACGAGAGAGACAAAGACAGTGGAACAATATCAGACGTGGTGATGGAAGACTATACAAGGACCAAACATTCTTCAATGGAGTTGCATTTAAAGAGTCTGTGCTCGACTATGTACTAAGAACTGGTCGAAATTTGAAGCAATACAGGTATGATAAGGATAAAATAGGGTTTAAATGTGTTGGTGGTGTTAGTGGTATTAGTGATCTTGAAGAAAACCATGGATGTATGTGGCAAGTATATGCTTCGATCCTGCCAAATGATGCAATGTGGAGAATTAGGTTGTTCGTAGATGAGCATAGCTGTGTTCCTAATGGAGAATGTGAGATGTTTAAGGTCCCTGTTATTGCTAGGATGTTTGTTGATAAGATTAGAGAGGAACCTGATTATTACATGCCTATGAAGATTGAAGAAATTGTGATGGAAAGATGGAAGATTATTGTATCTAGGGCTCAGTGTCAAGCTGCAAGAAATAAAGCATTGAGATGGATCGAATATGATTATGATCAACAGTTTGCTCGCCTTAGAGATTATGCTGCTGAGTTAGTGGAGTCAAATAAGGATTCAAGTGTGGAGATTGATACTTTTAAAAATGCAGAAGGCGAAGATGTGTTTAATAGTTTCTATGTTTGCTTTGATGTGTTGAGGAGAACATGGAAAGAGACTTGTAGGCCTCTGATCGGAATTGATGGCACATTCATTTCTGGAAAAGTCAAAAGACAAGTATTAGTGGCTTTAGGTAGAGACGCAGACAATGCTGTATATCCTATAGCATGGAGTTGTGTCCAAGTGGAAAACTCTGACAATTGGTTATGGTTTGTGAGAAAACTGAAGGCCGACTTGGGATTGAATGATGGTGATGGATTTATTATAGTGTCTGATCGGCAAAAAGTAAGTAAATTGCTTATTTGATTGCTTATTTAATTTTGGTTATTTTATATTTCTTGTTGCTTTAACTTACTTTTCTGTTTCAGGGATTGATCAAAGCAGTTAAGGAAGAATTGCCAAAGGTTGAGCATAGAAAGTGTGTGAGACACATCTATGGCAACCTAAAGAAGAATCATGGGAGCAAAAAACATATGAAGCCATTAATATGGAGTGTGGCGTGGAGCTATAATGATGCACAGTTTCAAGAGAACTTGGACAGGCTTCGAAACTATGATAGTGGTGTCTTTGATGATGTGATGAAGACAGATCCAAAGACCTGGTGTAGAGCTTACTACAAGAAGGGGAATTATTGTCAAGATGTGGAAAACAACTCCACTGAATCTTTCAACAAGACAATTAAAAAGGCGAGGGAGAAGGCATTTATTTCTATGCTAGAAACCATGACAAGATTGGCGATGGTTCGTATTGCCAAAAGATCAGCTAAATCTCACGACCACAATGGTATAAGTGTTTTTAGTGTTCTGTTTTTTGTTTAAGTGTTATTAGCTGTTTCACTTCAATGTTTTTTGCTTTTTATTTCAGGGATCTGTACACCCTATGTTACAAAGTTTCTTGCAGATGAGCATGAGCAAGCTTCTTTATGTGTTGTTACTAGAGGCACAAATGGATATTATGAAGTAAGGCTGGGTGGTTGTTCTTACCGTGTCAACTTGGAGAAGAGGACTTGCACTTGCTTCAAGTTTGATATTTGTGGGATCCCTTGCGAGCATGCTTATTGAGTAATAATGGTGAAAAAGCTTGTAGCTGAAGATTTTGTCTGTCACTGGTTTCGCACATCGACATGGAGGAGGAACTATGAAGAAGGCCTTGTTCCAGTAAGAGGTGCACAGTTCTGGCCCCAAACAAATCATCCGAATGTGCATGTTCCTCCTGAACCTGATCAACCTGGTAGGAAGAAAGTAACTAAGGCTGACAAGAAGAGAAAGAAAGGTGTGAATGAGTCTCCAACCAAGAAGGCAGACAAAGTGAAGAAAAGGATAATGCATTGTAAAGTATGTGGTGTAGCTGACCATAACTCAAGATTTCACAAGAAAACATCCGAAGAGGTTTGTGGTTTCTGATTTTGACTTGTGTTTTGGGATGAAATTTGTTTGTGGTATCGGGTTTAAGCTTTGTTTGTGGTATCGGGTTTAAGTTTTGTTTGGAGTATCGAGTTTAACCTTCTTAAGTGTTTCTGGTTATACTGTAGGCTTCTCAAGGAGAATCCTCTCAAGGAACTCTCACTCAAGCTCAATCTTCTCAAGCTATGGAACAAATATAGGAAGAAGGAAGTAATGGATAAGAAGAGGTTGGTTTTTGTAGGGTCGGTTTTTGTATGGGCTAAGAAGAAGGAACTTATGTATGGTCGTTTTGTGTTTCTGCATTATTGGTACTTTTGACAGGAGAGAACTTGATTTAGTGTCTTGTTTTTCATAACCATTGTGTGTTACACTTATTTTTTGATGATACAATATGAGCTTTTAACCATTTCTTTATGTTCTTGTACTTTTCAATGGTAAGTATAAATAATTGTAAATAAACAAAGCATAATTATATTATCAAGACATTACCAATAAACAACAAAGCACAAACTAGCTTCCATTTGTTTTAAGAAGAACACTAAACAACAAAGCAAAACACTAAACAACAACACAAAACTCTAAGAAGATCATCATCATTTATTTTAAACTAGCTTCATGAATCCAACAACAATCATA